GGCTACAATGCTTGATAAGAAATGTACTCATTATCTTGCCCATGTAATTGTAACCCCTCTGTACAGTATTTTCACAATAAAAAAAAAAAAAGAAAAGAAATTCATGACCTAGTATGAGCTCCCCCTTGTTTTGTGGTGTTGGAGCTGGAACACAGAGTCTTGCACATGCTAGGCAGGTGACATGCCTAGACGGCTTCCTTAAAGACAGAGCTTAGCCTATCTCCTGAAAAATGGTGCCTCCCAATCTTATTCACATCACAGTCATCCTGGATTTTTGCATCTATTAGGGCAGGTTTTCTGCAGGTGGCAGGAATTGGCATAAAGATGTCCCATGGGTTCCAGGAGAACATCTTTTCTAGGTGTAGAAATAAAGATCAATTTCATTGGGAAGAATAGCTACAGTTTAGGAGATGAGAAAGTAATCAAATAATGACTGAAAGTAAAATTACCTTGTAGATGCCAAAAAAGCCCAGGTCTCGCACAACAGACAAAGCACTGACCCGGGGACCCGTGGTGATTTCTCCAGCTACTTGCAAACGGATCTTGACAATTTCTAAAGGATTCGTGAAGATCACTTGGGAGCCTCCAGCCTAAAGAGTAAAAGAAAAGATTTGTGGTCAAAATTGGGATATGCTAATGTGGGTCACAGATAGAGTTCTTATAGAGGTGCTGGTGACTCATGCTTGTAATCCTAGCTACTTAGGAGGCTGAGATCTGAAGATAGTGGTGAACTTCCAGTCAGTCAGAAGTATAGTTACGGCTCAAGTGGAACAGTACTAGCCTTGAGTAAAAAAGCTCAATGATTGTGCCCAGGCCCGGAAGTGGCACTGTGGCTCGCCTTGAGCTGATGAGCGCACGAGTAGTGCCCAAGCCCAGAGTTCAAGACCCACGACCAACAAAACAAACAAACAAACAAAACAAAAAAACAGGCCCCTGGGTTCAAGCACAGGCACAGCACATGTGTACACACATACACACACACATACACACATGTACAATTTTATCTGTAAGAGTCTGTAGTTTCAATCTCTATTAACGAAAATATCTGGTTATAAATGAATTAAAGTAAAATCACTGCTTAGAAAATCTTTTATGTGGAAGCCCCAACTTCTCAATATGGAAGTTGAAAGAGGGCAAGATCAGAGGACAACTTCTATTGGCCTCATAGTAAATGATGAAAGATTCTTTGTAAATCTTTGGGGACTGAGGATACAGCTCAATCATGGAGTACTTGCTTGGCATGTGTAAGGCTCTGGGTTCCAGAACAGCACCAGGAAAAAAATAAAATCCTATTGTACAAGCATATACCACCACAAACATCAAAGCCAAGTATACAAAGGTAGTGATAAAATAAAAAAAAAATCAGTATTAGAATAAAGAGACACAGACCCTGCTTCTTACAATAACAAGGGAAAATTAAGACAAATACTCTTAAGTAATGGGTTTCAGGATTCTGGCAATGATTCAAAAATTGCATGCAAACAGGTAAACTTAGATAACATTTTTTAATTGGGTGGATCATCAAATGTCAGTTATGGGATTATTCATATGATATCATATCATTCATATGTTACTTGTATAGAGAATTGTCTTTTCATATAAGATAAATGGTATGTCAAAGTAGTAAAAATATATATATTAAAATCAATTATGGCCCAAACTTTGAATAGTGTGTGTTACTTCATTCCAGCAATGGCTGGATGCCATACTTCCAAGATCATTAGCAAAATCTTTAAAGTGTACCATACTGAAAATTTTAAGCTAGCCATTTTAAAGCTAAGCCTATATTTATTAGAAGCAATTATATTCTTATCATATACTTCAATTTGTTCCTTGCCACCAATTTACTAAATTTTTGTATCATCCAAACTTAGATTAGTATGTAGCACAATTTAGAATTTTTTTTCGGGGGATGGGGGTCAGTCATGGGGCTTGAACTCTGGGCCTGAGTGCTGTCCCTCAGCTCTTCAGCTCAAGGCTAGCACTCTACCACTTGAGCCACAGCGCCACTTCCATTTTTTTGGTGCTTTATTGGAGATAAAAGTCTCATGGACTTTCCTGCCTGGGCTTGAACCATGATCCTCAGATCTCAGCCTCCTGAGTAGCTAGGATTATAGGCATGAGCCACCATTGCCCAGTTTACAATTCAGAATTTTCAAATGCAGAGATGTCACTAAAGTCAGGCTGCAGTCATGGTGCTGACATTTCATAGCTCAGTAGATACCATCATGGTAACATGGGCTATTTGGGTCAACATAATTCAAAACTACTTCATGGTAGATTCTCTATTCCTATGTATGGGCCCTCCCAAAATGATCTGAATCCAAACAAAACTAACCACAAGGATAGTCTTTGGGGTATTATTTACAATAGTTGGAAATAAAGAATTAGAAACAATATAAATATTTAAAAGCAAGGAATCGGTTAAATTATGTCCATACATATATCTATATGTATTCATATATATACATATATAAATATATGTAGCCAATAAAAATACCATGGAAAATGTTCAAAATTTCCTCTGAATTAGAAACTGTCACATGTTTAAGATGCATGTACCCTTTTCTATAACACACTTGATACCACCACAGAATGATGCATGAAACAGATGCTTCAGGAAGACTGTTATGATACCAGGAAAAAGGAACTATGGACACATAACTTCTGGTGGACTCAGAAAGAAACAACTCAGATTCAATGAGGCATAAGGTGTCAAGGATGAATCAAGGGGTCCTTTGGAGTCAGGCTGGAAGGAAATGTGAGACTGCAAGGCACCGGGAGGAGATGCTTATCATCAGATGGTGTCTGAGTATCGCCACAGTTTGATCGCAGAGCAACACACTGCCTGCTGCTCTTCTAACTCCTAGTCTATTATCTGTTCACAGTACCTTAGCTATGTTTCTCCTTTGCAGAGATCAAAGACAGTCAAGTAGGCAAAATAGGCAGACAACGAACAGGAATCCCTATTGTGCAGAGTCTTTGTGTCCCTCATCACTTGCGAGCTCTGGCTGTGTAAAGATGGTGATGTTTTTGTGAGTGTAATTTTTGTCACAAGTCATTTCCCTGTAACTTTCTAGGACCTGTGGCAAGTAGGACAGGGAGAGCTTTACATATTGAACTCAGTGTGGGATACTGTATTTGCTGTGGGGACATGACTTCTCTACATGTTTCCTTCCATTGCTTTTGTTAGTGAATCCCTATAAGAAACATTCACCTATTACAGTCTTGCTTCTTCACCTTCATCATTCATTCACATATTTGTTCCCCAAACATTTAGAAGTGATCATGTTCAAAGTTTGTCCTAGCAACAGCAGAGATACAGGATGCCTGAGAAAGCTTTCTGTTCTCAAGGAATTTGAAGTAAGATTAGAAGTAATGGGTATTCGCTGAACATTAACATCCATTATGGGCTACTTGGGTATTGCTCTGTACATTATGTGTGTGTGTGTGTGTGTGTGTGTGTGTGTGTGTATGTGTTTTACTTAAGAGTAAACTGAGGCATAGGAAGATTAGATCAACTATTATGGGCTGAAAATAGTTGATTATGACTCTCTTCCATTCTCCATGCGTCATAATGTGACCTATATTTATAGAGACAGGGCCTTATAACAAAGGGAATTAAGTTAAAGTGGTCTTTAAGGTAAACCCTAATCCAATCTCCCTGGTAATCTTACAAGAGGAGGAAATTAAATAGAGACATATAAGGTATAAGGTGCAGAGAAAAGATCATGCAAAGACACAGAGATAAAACGACCAAGAGGGAAACCATAGAAAAAACCAGGTTTGCCAATATTTTTATCTTGGACTTCCAGCCTCCAGTAATGTAAGAAGATAAATATCATTTGTTTAAATCACCATCTGTGGTTCTTCATTTTGGCATCACCAACAATTTGTCCAAAACAATAACTACACGACTCACAGATATAGGAAGTGAGGGAGGGAGGGAAGAAATGATGAAAGTGTGGCAGCAAACAAGATTCATTTCATTCTTAACCTGATTTGTTGCATGTTAACTCGTTTGTATAACTATTTAAAAGACAATAAAACTAGAAGATCAAATGCTAGCTGGCAAATGAAATGGGCTCAGGACTTAGGTAGTCTAGGTAAAACTAGAACAAAACCAGCAACAAGGGTATACCAAATATGTATGGCAGCAGACCTAGTACCACATTTGTAAAGTAAAATTGAATAAGGATAATAATTATGATGAGATCTACTTTATCCATCATCACTTACTGAGCATCTACAATGTACACGGCACTGTGCATGTTTTGGCTAGGTTCTCATAATATCATAAGGTAGGCAATAATATAGATTATCCTGATTTTATAAGTAAACAAAGTAAACTGAGGTTGAGAGGAATAAGGAGATTATTTAAATTGCCCATAGTCACAGAGCTAGGAAGGGAGACTATGATTCTACGTGAAAGTTGCTGGCAGCTAGAGCCTGGACACTTCCTTACCTTCCATGGCAGCATGAAAGTCTGACCAGTGGCCTTCTAGATGGCATAGAATGGATATGAAAGATGGTAGCCAGTCAACAGCGAGGTTGTAGAGCTAAATCGTGGAAAGTTAATGACACTAACTTAGAAGAACAAGCTGCTTTATGGATGGATAAGGTAATAGTGAATTTTTGTAAGTAGAGCTGAGCACATAGCTAGTACAATAGTCAGACTGGTGTCCAAGCCACAGGAGGACTCCTGAGCAGCAGACAGGAGTGTCCACAGCACTAATGTGGGAAGAAAGGCCTGAAGCAGGGTGAATAATTAGGGTTTTAGCAGAATACATGAAAGATACAAGGCCACAATTAAAACAATTGCATCTGCAATGAAGTAGGGGGTGGGAGACCATAGGGTCCATGAAACAGCTTAGGTGATATCTGAACAGGGCCTCAGAGGACCCACAGCCACAGGAAGCACCACAGTGGTGTCTATTTAAGAGTCTACGGCATGAATTCAGAACAGAAAGTAGGATAAGATCATGCTTAACAGGTACGCAGGTGATAAAGAGGAACATGCTGCAGAAGGCAAGGCATAGCAAGTTGAGAGAGGGCATATGCCACATGTAACAGATGCCAGGAGCTTGTATGCAATGGGAGGGAGCAAAACCAAGAGTGGGATGAACAATGAACATCCTGTAATCTTAGATACCCTGGAGGCCAAGATCTGAGGATCACCGTTCAAAGTCCATGAAATCCTTTCCTCCAGTTAGCCAGAATAAAAGCTGGAAGTGGAAGTGTGGCTCAAGTGGTAGAGGGCCAGCCTTGAATGGAAAAACTCAAACAAGAGCTTGAAGCTCTGAGCTCAAGGCCTAGTACTGGCACAGAACAACTATAGTTTGCTTTCATGGTATACAGAGTTGGGAAGAATTGAGTTACAGGAAAAAACATATCAATTAGTAATTGTCTTTACTACTTGTGCTTCAAAGATAAATACAGAATCAAGTAAAGAGACATGATTAAAGTTCTGAGAGAATTATGGTGAAGTTAATCTGATCTTCAATAGAGAAAATGAAGTCAGATGTGGAGCTATGCTTAAGTAATGGAACACGAGTCTTGAGTAGAAAAAGCTAAGCATGAGCATGAGGCC